AGACAGAAATTGACCAGCCCAGAATAAGTATATGACTGAAAAGAAACTGAAAAGACAATACCAGGATCTGGCCAGAGAGCTGAAAAAGCTATGGAACATGACTGTGGAACTAATTCTTGTAGCAATAGAAACGCTTGGATTACCACGTAGGACACTGAAAGGGTGCTTAGGGAGAATTGGAATTGAAACCAAGTCTGTAGACCTCTAGAAAACTGCCATCATTTACACTGCAAGGATTCTGCGAAAGATTCTTAAGTTGTGAGCAGTCTTGTTGTCATCATGCCCCAAGAACAGAATTTCTATTGAGTAAGTCAATGCGCGATATAATAATAATAATAATAATAATAATAATAATAATAATAATAATAATAAATTATCGAGAAATTGTCCAAATACAAGTAACTGGAGATCGAGATTAACTGGATGAGAGGAATGAAGATTGAGACTGTACCAATAGTAATCGGAGTTCTGAGCTTCGTAAGAAAAGGAATGGACAATTTTAATAACAGTTTCCCAGGTAGCATCAACATACAATTTGCCCAGAAAAACGCCCTACTAGGAACATCCCATAAGCTAAGAAAAGTGCTATCAATTAAATGACAATTCTTCTATAGGGCCTAAGGACCATAGTTTGGATCCGGCTCTACAGGATACAAAGCAGGAAACATAACACACAAACAACAATAATAATAATAATAATAATAATAAACAATAATAGCTATAGATACAAAGTAAGCAAGAAATAGTTCAATCACCTGTTAAATAATAGTTTAGCAGACTATTAATTTTTAGAGGAGTGCATCTCTGCTCCGATTTCCTGTAGTTGACCATGAGGTCAGATGCAAGCCATAACATGGGAAGTCGATTTTGATTGGCTAGTCTAGCGTGGGAAAGGAGATAAAAGAAAGGTTTCCGTGTGTCGAGTCTTAACCGTCAAGCAATGTAGACGTTTTCTCTTTCGTGTCTGAAACGGCCCTCCAGTGAGGGGGAACGACCCCACCGATAGTTAGTACATGTCGACATTAATAAAATATTTAAGTTAAAATTCTCTGTGTTGAAGTCTTCATTGCCGAGCCGAAATGATTGGCGATCGCCAGCTAAGAGAAAAAGCTGATGTGATATCATTCACTGCTGTCAACATACAACAGACCTACTCTACATGGATGATCTCAAACTCATTGCGAAAGACGACAATAAGTTGAAGGATCTCCTCAATACTGTAAAATATTTCTTTGACGTATAGGTATGGGTTTCGGATTAGATAAATGTGAAATAGTAACATTCAAGAAAGGGAGAATTACAGAAACACACTCAAAAGATTTAGATTTTGTTATTGTTGTGGAGTGATTTCGCAGTGTAGGCTTGTATTTGTACTAAGTCAGTCATAAAATAGGTTCGACGTACAAAACGTTAGGAACTTGATATAATAGGTAATGACGCAGAGTAATCTGGTGGTGGTCGCTGATAATTTCGTATTCGACTGTCGCCCGACATTGACTAGTATTTAGTCACCCCACGAGGGTATCATGTGGCACAAGACCGGTTTAACGTGGGATCTCCGAGCCCGTGGGCTCGGCCAAAAATATACCCTTTGAAACCATATAAACGGGTTCAGGGTCTGTTTACCTCCCCGAACGAGACTCCGCCCTTCGGCGTAGCCTCGTTCGGGTTCCTCCCCGCCCGAAGGCTGAGAGTTCAACCGTTCAGCCGGTCGTCCGACATCGACTGACTCACTGAATGACCACTACTCCTACTTATTATAGGTGGGAGAGACTATTAGCTATAGAATAGGTGTGTTTCACCATAACAGTTACAAAGACAAGGAACTGGAACAAGAAGAAGCCTATAGGTACCGAGGAATGAGCGAAAGAGATGGAATACAGCATACCCAAACGTAAGAAAAGAATACTGCAGGCGTGTGCGTCTGGTATTGAATACAGAGCTGAATTGAAAAAACAAACAAACAAAAAACAAAAACATAATATCATCCATAAACACATTGGCTGTTCCCATCATGTAATACAGTTTCAACATCGTTAACTGAACCATAGTTGACACTAAGCGAATGGATATCAAAACGAGAAAGCTTCTCACTTGTCACCGTTAACGCTGATCTTAATCGTCTGTATGTGTCCAGATCCGAAGAAGACAGAATATTAATTCAGCTAAAACTGTCTTACAAAACTACAAAAATCGCCTTCAAAGATACCTGGAAAACTACAGAAGACTTTATCATGATCTGTGTCAAAAAAACATGAAACAAGTAAGAAACTTTAACGTAAGAAACAATGGAAGCCAACAAGTTCAAAATAGAGTTTCAATTGGGTGAAGAAATGCAAGTAAAACATAATTCACCTACTGCAGCTGCAAAAAATTTAAAAAAAAAAAGAAGCAAACTCAACTGCAATCGACCAGATACAGAAACGATGACAGGATAAACCTCTTCACGATCAATATTTTGCCCGTACCAAAGAAGTTAATGTAGATAAACCCTGTACTTATTAATGTATAAGTTAAGTATATGTATATACTATATATATATATATATATATATATATGTATATATATGTATATTAAGTTAATGTAGATAAACCCTGTACCCATCAGTAACTATGCAGTGCAGGGTTAAAAATTAAAACCAAAGGTTTTATTTTTGGTGCAAGGGACCAATACTTGCTAACTAGAAATTACCAAGCACGCATAGTGAAAAATTGTGTTAGACCAAACTGCAGATTCTGTGATAAATATCCAGAAACAACTAACCATCTTGTATCAGGTTACACAGTACTGGTACCCACTGAATATAAAACCCGGTATGACAGAGTGGGCCAATATGTACGTTGAAAAAAACTATCAAAATACAAGAACCTTGAAATCGAAATCTCCAAAATGTGGCATGTGAGAACATCAACAACTCCAGATGTAATTGGAGCCCTCGCATTGATTGGGAAAATTTCCGATAGACTGATTGAAGGGCTTCCTCGTAGCCCATGGCTTAAAGAAATAAAAAAAAAGATTCACAAGTACAGCCCACACCTTACGATAGGCCTTTATCTATGTAAAATATACGTGATCTTAGGTGTGTATGTTTTTTGGTATCTGTCTATATATCTGAGATGAAGTCAAGGACACATGGCACAGTGGATAAAGGCGTTAGTTAGATCCAGTGAGAGGACCCAAAGAGTGTGAGTTCAATACCTGGTTGGGATCTTGGAGAGGGGAATTAACTGATAACTGACATCCATTAGACATGGCACGTGGAACTTGAATAGTCTACCCCAGCGAGCGAAATAAAGCGTTCAGTTCGACATTCCAACCACCTGAAGAAGGTCGGAGTGTACAACGACCGAAACGTTGTGATAAATATGGCAACAAAGATGAGAACAATAGTCCGAATAGTGTAAATAGTGTATGTTTTTCTTATTTTTTTTCTCAAAAGATGCACAGTGGGTTTTAGGTCTCTGGTTGGGACCCAGTAAGAAATGTCTATACACCAAAATATAATAATAATAATAATAATAATAATAATAATAATAGCAAGGTAAGGCTCTTTATGGTCAATACTCTGCCCGTAACAAACAAGCTGATGTAGACATACCCCGTACCCGTCAGTTATGTAGTGCAGGGTTAAAAGCTGAAACCAAAGGTTTTATTCTTGATGCAATGGCCAATGCTTGCTAACTAGAAATTAACGAGCACATATTCTGAAAAACTGCGTTAAAACGAAATCCAGATTCTGTGATAAATATTCAGAAGCAACTGACCATGTTGTACAAGTTGCACAATGTTAACACCCACTGTATGTTAAACACAGCATGATAGAGTGATCCAATATTTACACTGGAAAATATGCAACTTTTACGGAAAGGAAACTGGTATGAACATCACCAAGTCCCGATTATAGGGACAGGACCTATAACAATTTTATGGGGCTTTATAATACATACAGACAGACCAGTCAAGTCTAATCGCCCAGACATCGTGATCAAAGACCACAAAACAAAATGTGCTTTTTCATTGACATGGCAGTCCTCTCATATTGTAATATTATCTTATACCGTGGGGTGTGTACTGATCTACCCAAAGTTCGTATAAAACAATCTGGTCAAGAATAACTCTGAGTATAGGCTGTTTTTTGTCGTTGTTTTACTAAAGTTCACCGTATACAAAACCCAAGAGCCACTCGAGTTTTGTTTAACATCCACGGAGCCCACCTATCGATTTATACTGCAACTATGCTGAGCGAACATTAGTTACAGTTTCTGGGAGAGAAGGCCAGTATACTCAAACCCTCTGTCACGATGACTTGCGAATTCGTGTTAGCACAGACGTTTGACGACTCCCAAATAGGTCTACACAATTTCAATCGCGAGGCTTAGGTTAAACATTGGTTTCTGGGCACTTTCCAACTTTGCCGCGCGTTGAGATGGCTTCCTCGGGTCGATAACATCAAATCGACCATGGTGAGATTCGAGCCTGGCTCTCATGGTCAGAAAGCGAACATTCTAACGACTCGGACCATGAGAGTACGCATGTAAATAACGTAAGTAATGATAACTCCTATTCCAGGAAATTTAGACAGAAAAAAAATTATCACTTATTTGTATATATTTCACAGGAAAATTACTTCTGCCATTAGGATGGAAATAAAGGATTTAGATATACCCCCCCACACACACCAAAAAAAAAAAAAGGGAAAGAAAGAAACAAACAAACAAACCTGTTTTCTCCTTTCACTCGCAAAAAGATTTCACGGATCTTTGAGATCAGTAAATTAATAGCGGGAGAAGTAGAAATCAAGGCTCAGCTTTTCATTGAGTGCGGATCAATGTTATCTAAACGAGTAACACTTGACTCTGAGTGCACACGTGCCAGAGTCAATGCTGACAGATGATGTATGGGGGTGGGTGACGGGCGACGAGATAATAAACATCCAGTTGTTGATTCTCTCTGAAGTGTATTTATTTGTTGCAATAAAGAAATGATGGCCACTTGAACAGAGATAAGTCCGTGCGATACTAGTAAGAGACTAATTACTGATAATTCGCTTTTTACGTTCTTTCTATCTATCTATCTATCTATCTATCTATCTATCTATCTAGTACAATCTGTTCTTTGTTTATAATCTATCTATATATCCCAGCCTATTCACATCTATCTATCTATCTATCTATCTATCTATCTATCTATCTATCTATCTATCTATCTATCTGTCCTTTGTTTATTATCTATCGTAATCCGTTTATCAATCTGTCACAATCTTTGTCTGTTTATAATCTATCTATCTATCTATCTATCTATCTATCTATCTATCTATCTATCTATCTATCTAGTACAATCTGTTCTTTGTTTATAATCTATCTATATATCCCAGCCTATTCACATCTATCTATCTATCTATCTATCTATCTATCTATCTATCTATCTATCTATCTATCTGTCCTTTGTTTATTATCTATCGTAATCCGTTTATCAATCTGTCACAATCTTTGTCTGTTTATAATCTATCTATCTATCTATCTATCTATCTATCTATCTATCTATCTATCTATCTATCTATCTCAGCCCATTCCATCTATCTATCTATCTATCTATCTATCTATCTATCTATCTATCTAGTACAATCTATCTATCTATATATCCCAGCCCATTCTATCTATCTATCTATCCATCTATCTATCTATCTATCTATCTATCTATCTATCATCATCTGTTCTTTTGTTTATTATCTATAAATCAATCTGTCACAATCTTTGTCTGTTCTATCTATTCATTCATCTATCTATCTATCTATCTATCTATCTATCTATCTATCTATCTATCTATCTATTACAGTCTGTTTATTATCTATCAGAATGTGTCATCTCAGCCCATTCACATATTATCTATCTATCTATCTATCTATCTATCTCTCTCTCTTTGTTTATTATCTATCTATCTATCATTCATATCTATCTATCTATCATCTCCTATTCATCTATATCTATCTATATATCTGTTTATTATCTATCAGAATGTGTTCTTTGTTTTCATATCTATCTATCTATCTATCTATCTATCTATCTATCTCAGCCTGTTCTATCTATCTATATATCTATCTCAGCCTGTTCATATCTATCTATCTATCTATCTATCTATCTATCTATTCATATCTATCTATCTAGCCTGTTCATATCTATCTATCTATCTATCTATCTATCTATCTATCTATCTATCTATCTATCTATCTGTGCGTATGTCTGTGTGTTATTGAATGCAATGGACAAAGACAATTTTTATGAGTATTTTATTAATATATTTCTAAAGTTCTTACGCTTTATTTTTGTTATAACCATTTGAAAACATTGAAAATGAGGAAGTAATTGGCCGAAAGCGTTTGCCAAAAGGATCAATACGGATTGTTTTTATACTCTTTTATTCACCATAAAAAGGAAAAATTTAAGAACAATAAACAAATAGAATTTTTTTAAAATCTTTCATTGTCCGTAACATCTAGTGTAATATATATAAAAGAAACAATTTAACCAAAATTTTGAAGGTTCTAAAATGAATAAATATAATTTAATTATAAAAAAAAATCATTTGGTTTTTCCTCTTAACAATAACATAGAGACTTTGACGATAAAACTTTGTATTAAATTTGGAACATTTTTTTAATCATGTATGCTCACTCTTAGCGAATATTTGGAAGTACCTATATATATATATATATATATATATATGTGCGTGTGTGTGTGCGTATGTATGTGCGCGCGCGCGCACGTGTGTGTGTGTGTGTGTGTGTGTATTTCAATTTCTTCTCTCCTGGAATTCGGAACGCCATAAATTATACTAACATAAAATACCAGAATGTTTTTCTTCTTTTTCTCCATATTTTATTTTGATGGAGCTTTAATAAACGGGAAATGTGTTCGATTGATAAACGTTTTTTTTATTTATCCGTTTTCTTATCATTCCGCCGGATTCCGATCCATATTCGATCTAGATCTTATCTCAAATCTGTTTCTCTCTCTCTCTCTCTCTCTCTCCTTCTCTTTCTTTCACAGAAACACACAAAGATATATAAATATATCTGTAAAGAAAATATAAACCAAATGACAAAAAGAAAAACTTTTATACCGACGTGTTTCATTCCTTCAAGAGCTACCTAAGAGAACGAAACACATCTGCATAAAATGTTTTCCTCTTGTCACTTATTTTTTATATATATATATATATCCTAACAAGTTCTGTTTGTTTAATTTTCAATGTTGCAGTGTCTGGGCCCAAGAATTACTTCCTATCCCACTTGACACATCTATACAAAAATGTTAGGATAAAATAAAATGCGAGATCAATTTTGCTAATTTGAGGCTTTCTCTGGATCAGCATCACCTCACCTGTCTACTATCTGCTTCACAACCGAGTAGTGACGCCTGCCTCAACGCAGTGCCCTCTTCATCTACCGGTGCCCTTCTAGGGTCGCAGTCGGGATCCGTCTTGGACTCAAATTATGTGAGCGTCACAGATGCAGACGTGGAGCTCCCATCGATGAGTTTGGTTTGCATTCCTCTCTCCTGCCATCGCAGTGCCGGCCGCTTTCCACGGCATGCAGCAATAAACGACACCATCAGAAGAGGTTTGAATGCAGCTGGATTCCCTTCCCAAATCGAACCCATAAGCCTCGACCGCGGTGATGGAAAGCGGCTGGATGGCATTGCCATTTTCCCTTTTAAAATGGGGAAGTCGTTGATTAGGGATGCGACCTGTGCGGATACATTTTCGGTCGGTAATTTGATCAGGTCCGCGGTTGAGCCAGGATCCGTAGCTCGGGACGCAGAGATAAAAAAAAAAAAAATAGGTAAATATTCTTCTCTTGCTGATAGATTTTTTTTTTACTCCTGTGGCAGTGGAAACTTCTGGTGTGTCTCACTAGCGATATTTTGAGGTAATGCTTTCTCCATCATTGTGGCTAGCACAGGATAGCAAAAAAAATTGTTCATAGTTACTTCGTTCAAACTTTTTTCAATAAATAAAATTTTTTAAATAATTTTCAAATGAGATGAATGCCCAATTCAAAATTTATACATACATATATATATATATATATATATATATATATATATATATATATATATGAAGAAATATAGTCTTAAGATGTGCTATATTTATGGGATAAAGTGCTCAATATCAGAGATAGAGCGTGTGTAAATAACAAAGTGAACATAGGTCAACACTTGAGGCGATAGTCTATTTCATGCTAGATGCAATCGTCAGGCCTGACGAATACATCTAGCATGAAACAGACTGTCGCCTCTAAGTGTTGACTTCTATGTTCACTTTTTATATATATATAAGTGTTGACTTCTATGTTCACTTTTATATATAAGTGTTGACTTCTATGTTCACTTTTATATATATATATATATATATATATATATATATATATCCTGACAAGTTCTGTTTGTTTAATTTTCAAATGAGATGAATGTGCAATTCAAAAATATGGATAGATGGTATTTTCAGAGCGGTGAAATTCAAGTTAGTCGAAACTGGTGTTATATGTAAAAGGTTACATGGATCTAGATTTGTATACGCAGATAATTCTCACCATAGAAGGTGGAAAATATATTCACTACAGGAGACTGAAACTTGTGTGTATAATATATTTAACATGCGTACAAAATAATATTAATAAGAAGAATAAGAAGGGACAGACTAATCAAAGCTAATTGCGTACACACAGACAGAAAAACCAAATCTAATAGCCCAGACATCGTTATTAGAAACAAAAAATTAACTCCTTATTGATATGGCAGTTCCTGCAGATTGCAATGTATCTTTGAAGACCTTCAAAAAACTATCTGTTATGGGGTCCACCCTTTTCGGATATAATGGACTCGTCCCGCTGCCATAAAATAGCCACAGTCAGGCAGAGAAGAGATATCGTACATGAGTCGTACCGGAGTCGTCTGTGAGTGTCGGATAGAGTGAATTAACCTCTTGTAGAAGTCAATTACAAGTACGTAGACTCTAGGTAAGTCCTACTTCGAGACTGTATATATCTATCTGTATTTTCTACTAACCGTGTTCCTGGATTTTACTAACAGAATTACCTTTTGTATTTGTGTAAATACATTTAATTTCTTAGCTTAATTACTTGCGTTTGTCATTTATTGGATACCTATATCCACAACACTATCAAAATACAAGGACCTTGAAATCGAAATCACAAAACTGTGACGCGTGAGTACAATAACAATCCCTGTTGGATTGATTGGAAAATATTACAATAGACTCGTTGAAGAGATTCCTGGTAGCCCATGACTTAAAGAAATACAAAAAATTGTCCTCACGAGTACAGCCCACACTTTACGAAGGTCTTTATCTATGTAAAGTATGTGTGTGTGTGTTTTTTTTAATTGCTCAGTGAAAAATGTCATGATGCCATTTCTAAACTTAGTTTTCTGGTTGGGACCCGGAAAGAATTGAATACACACCAGAAATGAAAGGAAATGATAATAATAATAATAATAATAATAATAATAATAAAGAAAAGCTTAAGGGTTAATTACTCTGCTCGTGCCAAACAAGCATCAGTGGTTACGTAATGCTGGATTAAAAGCTGAAACTATTTTTTTTATTCTTGCTGCACAGGACCAATGCTTGGTAACGAAACCAATGCTTGCTAACGAGTCCATTGCTTGCTAATGAATTCAATGCTTGCAAACATAGAGAAAAACTGTATTGGCCCCAAATGCAGATTCTATGATGAATATGCAGAAACAATTAACCATTTTGTATCAGGTTGCACGGTATTAGCATCCATCGGATATAAACCTCGTCATGACAGGGTGGGCCTTTATTTGCACTCAAAAATTGATGTTTATCTGAAGGAAAGTGCAAGAAATTGGTACGAACCCTTGGCTCGGTTACAAACATGTAATCATTTTATAATTGAAAAAAAAAAACATGTGTCACATGAAGACATCAATAATTCCAGTTGTGGTTGGGGGTCTGGATTTGATTGGAATGGTCTATGACAAAATAATTGAAGAGACCCTAGCAGCCCAACGCCTTAAAGAAATACAAAATATTGTCCTAACAAACCCAACTAACATCCCACAAAGTGCTCTATCTATGCAAAATGTGTATGTGTTTATAGGGATTTTTAACGCTAATGTGCAATGAAAACTATCATGTTGCCATTTCTGACCGTAGGTATCTGGTTAGTAAATCATTATACAAAGTGCAATGGATAAATTGACATTTAAATTACGCAAAAACGAAAATAACACTGACATCTCATTGATATATTTACCAAAATACTAAAGAGTAAATTCATTCAATAAAATCGTCATTAGATTCAACCACGGCCTCCAGACGACTTCGGAATCTCTTGCAACTCTGGACGGTCTCCTTGTTTAAGTTAGTGAATGATGCCATAATCCCTGCCTTCAGTTCATTTTTGGTGTTAAAAAGAGTATTGTTGGTCTCTAGCTCAATTGCACCCCACACATAATAATCAAGGTGGGGTTGCAGTCTGGGAAGTTAGGTGGCAGGTGATGTAGTTGCAGAAATTGTCTGACTGTCATGACTGTGTTCTTCTGCTTGTGTGGCATGATGCAGAGTATATATAAGGTCTTCCAGCAGCCACCACCTTGACTCAGGGCAGCACTACCTCCTCAAGGCCTCCGAATTGAGTCTGAGGCCCTCACCAACAAATTCGGGAGACATTTTCTTATCAGAGCGATCGGAGTGAGTTTTCCGAGCTACCGTATTTTCGTAATCACCATTAGACTCATCCAACTCTTTCCGAATCCTAAGCACTGTCCTCAGATTGACACCCAAACACTCTGAAATATTCGTATTGGAGCTTCCGGAAGAAAATAATAATAATAATAATAATACAATAAAATAAATAAACGGGGAAACATTTGGCAAACTACTTATTAAGCTAAAGCGCGCCGTTACCAGTTCGTCCACAGAACTCACTAAAAATAATGTTTATAATAAGAAGATAAAACCTCGGATAAAAAAAAAGATTTCAAAAGATGACTTTTGTTTAAGTTTCAAGTGCGAAACTGAAGTTAGCAGATTTGTGGATAAATTCGTAGAAGTCCCAACGAGAAAACGGTCTTTTGTTAAAGGCAGCACACGCGCTAAGCGCGCGCACACACACACACATATATATATATATATATATATATATATATATATATATATATAATTGTTTGAGTGTGTGTATGTGCGCGCGCGCGCCTGTTAACGAAA